CCCTCAGCCCTTGAACCCAGTCTCTAAGCAAATAGATCCTGTGCCTGAGGCTTCATATAAGGTGACATCTTTTGGGCTTTGCATTCTTTACCTCCCAGGAAGGCAGGAGCTGTCATTTCAAATTCAAAACTGGCTTACTTGAATTCTGTGGAGCCAGTGTATCCCACAGCCACAAAATCTCCTGAGGGAGAATGTTCTCACTTAGCCTTTTGATGTTTGACCATTTCACACAGAAACCTGTATCCTGAGCCCTGGAAATAGTCACCTTGGTGACATCGATAGGCTCTCACAGAATGGAGAGAAAGCTGCTTCTGTCTTTGCATATCAAGTGCTCGCTTCAGACTGAACTGTGATTGTAAAAGGAAGGCCCATTTATTGAGGTCCCACTGTTCACTAGCACTGAGGGGTACTATTTCTAATTCTCATCATGGTAGATAAGGTCTCCATTATGCAGATGAGTCTTAGGCAGTGGAACTTTAGTTTGCCTATGGTCACACAGTGAGTCGTTAAGAAAAGATTTGAACTCACTTTTCTGACTTGGAGATCTAGAACAGAAGGCAGCAAATGTGGCCTGTCCCCTGTTTTTGTATGGCCATCTAGCCAAGTATGATAAATAAATCTAGAGATCTAATGCATAGAATGTTGACCATAATCAACAACACAACATTGAATACTGGAGATTTTTATATTTTTAATGATTAAAAAAAAATCAAAATGAAATTCAAATTTTAGTGGAATACAGCCATGCTCATTTGTCATTGTCTATGTTACATCAGCAGACTATAGTAGTTGCAACAGAGACCTTATCATCTGCCAAACCTAAATAATTGCTATCTGGCCTTTTACAGAAAAGGTTGCTGACCCTTAGTCTAAGATCACTGGGGGCCAAGGAGATAATGTTCTCATTCACTTGGAATCATGGAGGGTTGGAGCAGGCAGGGAAAATGGAGACCATATAGCTCAGTCCTCTCTCGGGATAAGGCCAGGTAAGCCACAGCCTCCCTGAGAAGGGATGTTTCAGATGAGGTGACTGGTCAGCAAATAGGGGCCTATGACCATCTCCTTAGAGTTATCAGATGCCTTTGTTCCTAGGAGCTCAAGAATTGAACACATCAATCCTCAGCCCAGGAGAAGAAAAGTGTGTTGGAGTCAGAGCATAAACAGTGCAAGAGAGGAAAGTGAATATGAGCAAGGGAAGTTACTTGGCACTAGAATTTAGACAGTCCTGGTCATGCTCTGTACTGTGGCTGTCTCACCTGTGAGTGTTGGAAAAGAATGAATGTCTACTACAGAGATGAGGTAGTAGGAAGGAAATCCTGTCAAAAAGGCTCCAAGGCCTGTGCCAACTGCCAGGCTTTGTGTGAGGAGGCGAGAGTATCCTCAGGGCTCAGAGTGAAACTGGTTTAGAGTGACGACATTTCAGTCAACTGACCTGGAAGAAGCCCAGGGGTAAGGCTGGATTAAGGACCTGAGAGCTGCTCAGCTCCTCTTAGTTACTTGCTCTAGATTAGAATGATCCTTCCTCTGTGTTGCTTCTGACAGGCCCACTAGGACAGGTACTCACAGGAGCTGAACAGCTCTTTACTGAGTGCCATCCCTCACTGTAGGAGGTGCTCACGGGATGCCAGGTCATTTCCACAGAGACTTGCAATCAAACTTAAGTCAGACAGGCAACAACTAACTAGAATACACACATCTAACTGAGGGAGGACTGGTGAAGAGCTTCCTTCAGCTCCCACACCATCAGTGCCTCCTCTTTAGTCTCCTCTCTAGAAAGAACTCTGGCCTTAAGGTCAGTATTTCCCATTTGGACCATGGCTGGGATGGCTTTTCCAATGGCCTCCCAACCCCAGGAGCTTTCTGCTCTAATCCAGCCCATTCTGAGCACTCCGCATTCTAAAAGCCTGTGTGCCAGATACCATGTGACCACTGGTGATACAGAGACAAGAAACATGGTTCCAGTCTCACAGAAGGCGGGTAGGAGTGGGACTGGGGAGGGGGGAAGGGGTTTGAGGAGTGTCTTTAAAACAGATAATCAGTATCATTGAATAATGGTAATCTTAGAAGAGTTTGTAGCAGCAGGAAGGGCACTGAGGATGATGTATCTGTCCTGATTTCCTGGAGGAAGACAAATAAATTTCCTAAATAAATTGACTTCTTGAGAAAGCGAACCCCCTGACTTATACGTGTTAGTAAAGTGCGCCATCTTCTGGCTTGTGCCTTGCCC